CTCCCTGCCCCACATCCACCAAAACCCCTGGATTCACCCCCTCCCAAGGATCCAAACCTCCCACCTCTCTCCCTCTGACCCCCCCCTCTCCCCTGTTCCTCCCTCAGGCTCCCTATTTAATCTACGTGGAAGTGCTTGAATGTGACAATTTCGACACAGCGAATGTTCCCGCCCGGATCCCGGAGAACCGGATCCGGAGCACGCGCTCGGCCGAGAACCTTCCCGAGGTGGGGATGAGCCACGAGCAGAGGACGGGGAGCTTCAGCACCGTCCCCAACTACGACAACGACGACGAGGCCTGGTCCGTGGACGACATCGGGGAGCTCCAGGTGGAGGTGCTGGAGCGTCGGGAATGGGGCCCTCGGGAAGAGGGGGCGGGATAACGGGGGAGTTGGGATTTGGTGGGAAAGGGTGGGGGGGGGTTTGGAGCGAGGGGAGTGGGCGGCTGGGAGGGTTGGTTGTGGGAGTGGGAGTGATGGGAGAGGGGTGGAGGTGGCAATTCCAGGAGTGGGAATGATGGGAGAGGTCTGGGAATGACAGGAGAGGTTTGGGGGGGGGTCAATTCCGGGACTGGAAGTGATGGGGAGAGACCTGGAGGTGTCACTTCCAGGACTGGGAATGACAGGAGAGACCTGGAGGTATCACTGGGAAAGACTGGGAGCACTGGGAGAGACAGGGAGGAGGTGGCACTTCCAGGACTGGGAGCACTGGGAGAGGGCTGGAGGTGGCAATTCCAGGACTGGGAATAATAGGAGAGGTCTGGGAGGGGGTCACTTCCAGAGTTGGAAGTGATGGGAAGAGGCCTGGAAGTGTCACTTCCAGGACTGGAATCTGGAGCCTCCCAAACTCCTTCCCTGCCCTTCCCAGAGCCTCCCTCCCTTCCCTGGGATGAAATTCCCGGCTGGAATCATGTCCCGAGCGTCCCCCTCACCCCCCTCTCCCACTGTTTTCCAGCTTCCAGAGGTTCACACCAACAGCTGTGACAACATCTCCCAGTTTTCCGTGGACAGCATCACGAGCCAGGAGAGCCGGGAGCCCGTGTTCATCGCCGCCGGGGACATCCGGTCAGGAATTCGGGATTTGGGATTGGGATTGGGGATTGGGGATTGGGGTGGGCCCTGGCTGCACTCCCAGGGGTGTCA